AGCCTATTAGGTGGTGACTGTGACAGAACTCCCCCCCCTCCTCCTCCTCCTCCCAGCAGGCGCGTCCTCGCGCCGTACAAGGTGAAATAAGGGTGGGAGGGATGCGTTCTGTCTGTCCTGGAGTCCTCCCCCGGAGGGTTACCAGGGACCGATGACTCCAGGTGGGTACCGGCAGTTCGGGAGACCAGGCTGGAGACGACCCTTCGGGCGGCCATGGCGGAGACCTCCCTTCGGGCGGAGACGGTCTGGCCACTGTGGCAGAGGACGTATAGCCCCCCATCACCCCCCCCCCCCCAAAAATTTTTTTTTCTTGGGTGGAGTTTTGGGGACAGGCCTAGGGACAGGCCTTGAGGGTTCAGGCGGCAAGGCGGCCATCTTGGCCGGAGGTGAGGGTTCAGGCGGTGAGGCGGCCATCTTGGCCGGAGGTGAGGGTTCAGTGGAGGCTGACTTGGCGTGAACAATCTCTGGGTCGGTGGGCATGACGTGAACAGTCTCTGGGTCGGCGGGCATGACGTGAACAGTCTCTGGGTCGGCGGGCATGACGCGCATGCTTGGCAGGACTGACGTGAAGCGCAGGCTCGGCAGTGCTGACATGGAGAAGCTCAAGCTCGGCAGGACTGACGTGTAGAAGCTCAGGCTTGGCAGGACTGACGTGAAGTGCAGGCTCGGCAGGACTGACGTGTAGAAGCTCAGGCTTGGCAGGACTGACGTGGAGTGCAGGCTCGGCAGGACTGACGTGTAGAAGCTCAGGCTTGGCAGGACTGACGTGGAGTGCAGGCTCGGCAGGGCTGACGTGGAGCTCGGCAGGGCTGACGTGGAGCTCAGGCTCGGCAGGGCTGATGTGAAGAAGCTCAGGCTCTGTAGACATAAAGTGAAGAAACTTAGTCTGCAGACATGAAGTGAAGAGGTTCAGGCTCGGCAGACATGACGTGAAGAAACTCAGGTTCGGTAGACATGAAGTGAAGCCACTCAGGCTCGGTAGACATGAAGAATCTCAGGTTCGGTGTCAAAGTCTATTAAGGGAATTTCTTCCGGACCTTGGACGAGGACAGGAACAGAGGATTCATGCGGGATACTGGACGGGTGGTCTTAGTGGGATGAGACCCTGAACAGGTGGTCTCGGCGGGACGAGACATGAAGTAAAGATCAAGTTGGTCAGGCAGGACGTGAAGATCAGGCATCACGTGAAGAGCAGGTGGTGATGGTGGTTGAGTGGAGATATCATTCTCAGCCTCACCCACAGTGAAGGCTGAGCCACTCAACCTCAGCACATGATCCAGGTACTGAGCTAACGTACCTGGGATCGCTGCTGCTGGAGTTGGTTGGTGCAGGGGATAGTCCAGTCCAAGCCCGAACACTTTAATAAGGGCGCCATCTGTTCAGTTGACCAAGTGTGAAAGCTAGAAAATCTGGCACGTATTCCTCGATTGGACGGCCATCTTGGAAACAGGTCAGTAGACAATCGGTAGAAATTGAATCGGTGCGGGAACTACCCATATTAAATTTAACTGGTCGGTTCTTCTGTCACGGTGTGGTGTAGGAAGGTGAAGACGATGAGTCAGAAGGCTCCAATTAAAAAATATAATAAGATTCCAACAGGTACAGACAGGCAGGATGAACACACACTAATTAGAACTAAGAACCGACAAAGACTGGCTGAACTGAAAGGAACTAAATACAAACACAGGCTGTGTCCGAAATCTCCACTCAAACCAGTACTCCCTAACCCCTATGTAGGGGGTAGGGAGTAGAGCACTATATAGTGAGCTCACCAGCATAATAGAAACACCACTTTCGGACACTACTCGATCGTCTCTCGGCGCCGTTGATTAAACGCGCCATCATCTGTCAGCTGGTGCCGAGCCAGCTCTGGGCTAAATAGATTTTTTTTTTATATATATAAATACATTACATTATATTGAGCTTATTTCTCCAAAATTGTCAAATTAAAAGTCATTTCTGTCCGTTTCTGTTATAATGCGTTACTCCACACATGATTATAACTTATAAACATAAATAAAATTAATACACATATTTCATATATTTTATTTTCGCGCCACACCGTTTTCTCTTGCCTGTCGACATTAGGAAAAAAAAAACAGATCTACATTATCAAATATCTTGCTCATTATACTCTTAATAAAACAGCTTTTAGACTCTGTGGAGATGCCACTCAATATTCATCTTTTTTGTTTGTTCTCGTGATTCAGAAGATTTTGCGGATTAGCAAAAGAAACAGGATTTCTAGACACAGAAAACGACGTACTGTTCTTGCTATGCTAGCGAGACGTCGTCAAATTGTAAGTTAAAGATGATGATGCTGATAGGTCTTTTACGATCAGCGCAATGCATGATGGTATGTAGGGCTTGGGTTAGTGACCATCGGTTGTACACTACTTTTCAAAATGCATTCTGGGATACATTGAGTGGACTATATAGGGTATAATAATCATCACTATACATTCGGACAGCACTACAAAATGGCGAGCTCACTATATAGTCCACTATATAGTGAGTAGTGGGAGATTTCGGACACAGCCACAGATTAACAGAAACCAGGTGACACAGATGAACACTGATTGGCAGAACACAGGTGATGCAGATGATGATGAGTGCTGGCAGGTGAGGGTAATGGAGGTGCAGGTGTGGGCCAAGGAGGATGATGGGAACTGTAGTGCAGACAGAGACTAACACATGACAGAGACGATGACAATTAGGTGGTGTTTTTTCACAAATAAAGTAATTGTTTAAAAATATGTGAATAAAAAGGAAGTAAACACTGTAACACTCAGTAGGCCTAATCTGGTAATTTCGTGCACACTGGTAGCCTAATCATATTTTTAAAAATAAAGACAAGGTAACGCTAGTTTTACATACAGCACACTGTGAAAGCGATATGAATATGACACAGTGGGCAACTGGATATAGCACAGCATATTTTAAAATGAAGGATTTAAAGTTTTTCGATCGCGTCTCCTGTGAAGCTGATCTTCTGTTCGCATTCACTTACTTCGCACGGGCCGACCGTCACTCGCAGTAACACGTTTACGCAGGCTACTAATGCACACTTCACAAGATCTCACAGGTGGATTCGATTAAATCTGCAAGGTTTGTGAAATTAAATGTTTATTATATATTCAGAAATTTGTTTAAATTATGTAGATGCACATTTGCTGAATCTTGACGATAAATGATAAAGTATTTTAGCCTGATTGTTTGCCTTTTCTGTTACAAATAAAAAAGCAAACAATATAAAATTTACTTTCTTTGTTTACCAGTTCTGTCTATAACAAAGTATTAGATATGACTGACAGAGATCGTAAACTAATGAAGATGGAGAATGTGAGTGAGCGCTGTGTGATCAGGCGCTGGTGTTCTCAGCGCCGCTCGTCAAAATAAAAGTGTGGAGCGCTGTCAATAATAAAGTCCCACTTCCAACACATCGGCCCAACAGAAAAAATTTAGGCATTGGCGATATATCGGTCGACCACTAATTTTAACCGCAAAAACACATTCTGTGTGAACCGCCTCAAGTTACGAAAAAAACCATTAGAATAATGACACTGATATACAGCCTGACATCAACTCATCTGATAGCAGATACTGAACCATGTCATGCACAAGATGCTGCAAAAGACACGAGTGCAATGATCAAACACGTCAGCCTAGCATGTTTACATAGTAAAACAATGGAAAAGTAGTGGAGTGGAAAGGAAAAATGCGTTCTGTCTGACAGTAGAGCAAAGTCTTTGCAGAAGAGTCAACAGCTTTCCAGCATGCCTTTCAAAATGAAAGTCTTGCATCAGAAAAACTTTTAGAATTTTTTGTTTCTTTGACTACACACTCCGCAACCCACTCAAAACGGTCTTGCGACCCATTTTTATGTAATAAGTACTTTAGCATAGTAAAGTATGCTAATTAGTGTACTTTTTCACAAGGGTGTTATCGCACATAGCATACTATTGTTAATTAATAATTATAAGCTAAAAAAAAGCTATAAAAGCTATAAAAAAAATAAAATAATTATAAGCTGATAAGTATTGGGCAGAAAGTCAAAATCGATGCATCCCTAGTATGGATAAAATTTTGAGTATGACCAGTCCAGTTGTTATTACTGCTTTTAATTAGTCAGTTATGGTTTGATTATCATGTGGGGTTTTTTTATCCTCTGAACTTCTTATTAGGGTTAATTGTAGGACTATTTCTTTACGTCCGGTCTCATAAAATTGGGTGAGTGTGTTTTTCTGTCAAACTTTTTTGTCTATATGTATACTGAAGTGTATTAAGGGCCCCTTATTCTTGACAGGCTTATTTAATGCATGAAAAATACAGTGTGTGTGCGTTTCTGGCTTGGACTGTCTTTTACTATTAGCACTTACACAGTCTCTCATAGGTCTGTGTGTATGGTTTCCTTGGAAACACTAATGTGTAGTGACAACAGGCTATAGGTCAGTGGTGGAGTTGTCATTTGTTGTATCATAAACGCACGCACACATAATGTATACAGGAGTTCAGTCACACACTCACAAAGCAAATTCAACTGCTGCACAGTTTCATTAATATTACTATGAATTTGATATAAAAACATGGCCTGAAAGTAAAACACCAATCACTTTGATAAAATGATCTGGTAGTTAAACCCTTACACACACATTTGTTAAATGTCATCATTTAAACAATGACATCACCTTTAGGCACGTGAAATACTAACTGAGCTTGGGCACTACCAATTATGGCTTTCGAACTGCGTGTGTGTGTGTTCAGGAAGGATACTTAACCTTTGAATCCCCTACTTCACACACACTCAGTTGTTTTTGTTAGTGTTCTCTTCATTGATATCTGTTGTTATGAAAGCACCTCCTTGTGTTTAGTTAGGGTACTACAACAACAAATGTAGCATTAAGTGCAATGTGAAGTCATGCTTTTTGCATAATAACTTCTCTAACCTATTTTTTTTTTTGAAGTGCTAGTGTTAACTGAGCTGTCTTTTTTTCTCTCAGATCTGTCGAAGAATCGCTTGATTGACATCCCGTCAGAGGTGTGTCATCTGGTCTCCCTGGAAACACTGAATCTTTATCACAACTGCATCAAAGGCATTCCTGATACCATCATCAGCCTTCAGTCCCTTACCTGCCTAAACATCAGGTGAACATCACACTAACACACACACACACAAAAGTTAAGACATTTTTTTACAAATTGGATTAAAGATAACCATATTTATTGCCAAGATGAAAACTGAACACCACTCGCTCAATTTAACATACAACATAAATTCAATAAAATAAATAAATAAAATTAAACATAAAGGTTTTTTTTTACAACAATTTAGCATATTACTGTTTAAAACACTTATCAGTGCATATTGCATATTGGTTTACATATAATATTTAAAAACAGCGTAAAAAATATTTGTGGTACACTATAATTAAAAAAATTAGAGGTCGGTACATTTTGTTTTTAGAGAAATTATTGAGGATGCATTAAATTGATCAAAAGTAGCAGTAAAGAATCTATAATGTTACAAAAGATTTGTATTTCAAATAAATGCTGTTCTTTTGCAAAAATAAGCAGCAAATTTGTTTTTTACTGTTTTCAACATTGATAATAATAAGAAATGTTTCTTAAGCACCAAATTAGCATATCAGAATGATTCAGAAAGATCACGTGACAGTGATGCATCAAATAAATGCAACCTTGGAGAGCTTAAGAGACTTCCCCAAACTTTTGACCAGTACTATAATTATTGTGTTAGCATTCTTTTCCGAATATAATACATAGGATTATTAAATAACATATAGGACAACCCAAACTTAAAGTGCATGGCATATAACATACTGCAGTGAAGTGAACCAAATAAACATGTTTTTCCCCTCTGGTTGTCCTTCCTGCTTCTGTTCACATCTAATAAATGTAAATACAGCCACACACACACACACACACACACACACACACACACACTCTCTCTCTCTCTCTCTCTCTCTCTCTCTCTCTCTCTCTCTCTCTCTCTCTCTCTCTCTCTCTCTCTCTCTCTCTCTCTCTCTCTCTCTCTCTCTCTCTCTCGCTCTGTTTGAGTTCTCTCTCTATAGCCAAATGTCTCCTGCAGGATGCCTGATATTCACACTGAGTTAATTAGCAATGGAATTTATTTTGTAAGAAGTTAATGAAGCACTAAGTTTTTGAATGGTTGAGAAGAGTGAACATAAACTGGAGATGGAAAAGCAAGCAGAAAAACCGAGTGAGGTCATGAAAAATGGATGGAAGATAATCAGAATATGGAAGCACCAAAAAAAAGTGAAAAGACACTCGCACACAGATTTATATATTTTTCCTCTAGTACCTCCTTCAACACACACACACACACACACAGAGAGAGAGAGAGAGAGAGAGAGAGAGAGAGAGAGAGAGAGAGAGAGAGAGAGAGAGAGAGAGAGAGAGAGAGAGAGAGAGAGAGAGAGAGAGAGAGAGAGAGAGAGAGAGAGAGAGAGAGAGAGAGAGAGAGAGAGAGATTTATGTCTATGGGGACTTTCCATAGACAATGATTTTTATATTGAACAAACTTTATATTCTATCCCCCTACCCCTAAACCTACACACACACACACAGCTAAAATAAAAATGATATTTGTCTGTCATCCTCTAGTCATAACAGGCAAAGTTTGTCTTCTCATGAACCCATGAACAATTCCCTGAAATCAGCCTTTTTCCTGTTTAATATCATATTGACAGAAATTATACCGTTACAGGAAAACAGATTATTTATCATTTTATATTTGGATATCAATCTTTTATGAGTTAGTAATGCACATAAGCCTCTCTTCAATGCCACAGCTGTTGTGTAATAATTTTATTATAGTAATTTCACACATATACTGTACATTTAATCATGTTCATATACAATGGGTCTAAAAGTCTAAGAATACTAGTGTAAAAGCTTTATTCTTTTATTAGGGCCCGAGCACCGATGGTGTGAGGACCCTATTGGAATATTATTATTTTTTTCCCTGTTACAGATTATATTAGCATCACAATAATTTAAAAAAATGTAACTTAAATTTAACGTAATTTTATTTTCAGATACACTTCAGGTGTACACTTCTAAAAAAAAAGTGAATTTTAAATATACAGAAATATATAAAAATAACTAAATAATGTAAAAATGTCAAAGAAAATATATTTTCTTTATATATAAAGAAAATATATACAGTATATAATAATATATATATATATATATATAATATTTCTTTATATATAAAGAAAATACTAAGAGGGTAGGCGAATTAAAAGATTACAGCTGTTACAGCACATGCTTTTCAAAAATACAACACAAGGTAATCTGATAAAAGCTTCCAGATTTTTCAAAATAAATATAACTTTTCAGTATTGATCGTAATTTCATTGTCACCTAACCAAACATCAAATGTTTCTTGTTCACAATTTCTTAGTATTTACTATGTCCATATATATTTAACATCTTTAATGTTTCTTTTTCCCATGTTTTTTTTTACGTTTCTTTTATGTCCAGGTTCAAATTATAATTTGATTCTAACATTTCCCCCCCATTTTGATAAATACATGTTGTCTTTGATCAGTCAGAATGAAGTTTTCCAGATAAGTATTTCTGCTTGAGTAGCAGCATTGAGAAAGATGCTATAACGTGTTTTGTTTAAATGTTACGGTGCTGTAGCCGGAACCAGCTGTCAGTGCTGCCAGCGTGTGTGTGTGGTCTTCCTCTGCGAGTGCTCAACGCCAGCAATAACAAACTCAACGCACTTCCAGAAAGCATTGGCCAGCTCACCAATCTCATGGAGCTGGTAAGCGTGAGCGTGTGTGCTGTACCTCTGATGTCTGCATATATGCATGAGATGTTTGCGATACTTGTGATATCACCCTTGTTGACTCACCCTTTCTCGACTTGGCTCATATCTGCCTATGTTAAATGCACTGCTTTTCACTCTTTCCAGTTTTTATTCTCTGGTAGTTCTTCTCCCTGTCTTTTTTCTCTTGCTCTCTTTCGTAACCATAAAAAAGAACATGCACAGACCAGGATTTGTGGGGCTGTGTTAGGTGGGAAATGGCCCCTCATACTTTCCAACCAAATATAGTACAACAAGTGCTTAGTACTTAGTGTAATGAAAGGTTTGTGCGGAAAAGTTGTGTTTGAGAAGAAGATAAACATGCAACTCTAAAAAATATTCTCTATCTTTTTCTCCTCAGGACGTAAGCTGTAATGAAATCACAGCTCTTCCACGCCACATTGGCCAACTCAAAGCTCTGAGGGAACTCAATGTGCACAGAAACCTTCTCTGTGTTCTACCAGAGGGTGAGTCTGGAATCTGTCTCTGTGTGTGTGTGTGTATGTATCCCTCCTCCAACCTTCTTATCTCTGCAGAAAAGATTTCACTACTCATCACATTACCCATAAAAACATCCTCCGGTAGCTCCACAGCTACAGGAAATCTAGCCCTTGTTTGACCTCTACTCCACCAACCTTCTTATTCACGCCCTCTCAGTGTCATAAATTAAAGGGAGGTTAGTTCACCCCAAAATAAAAATTCTGTCATAATTTACTCACCCTCATGTTGTTCTAAACCCAAAAGACTTTAATTCATCTTCTTCAAATCACAAATTAATATTTCCCCCCCTTTGAAAGTCCACGCGAACAAAACTTTGATGCCTCAAAATGTTCATAAAGACAATGTAAATGTAACTGAAGTCTTCTGAAGAGACAAAATTGCTTTATATTTATGAACAGATTAAATGTAGGCTTTTATCAAACATAAACATTGACTACGTTTACATGCAGCCAATAACCCGTTCAAAACCGGGATATTAGCAATAACCCGGTCACGCACGGCTATGTAAACACCGGCAAAAACCCGAATATGCTCATATCCCGCATTTTAAAAACCGGGATATTATACCTGGGGTACCCCTTTTCTAACCCGAATTTTTGGTCATGTAAACGTGTATCGGCATATCCCCATCAAAAGGAACATAGATTTGTGTTCTGCGCATGTTCTATTCGCAAGGAATCTTGGTCTTTTGAGTAGAGGAACTTAAATTCTCGACGCATACAAAAACGTCTCTGGTTACTCACGTAACCGTAGTTCCCTGAGAGGAGGGAACGAGACATTACGTATGGGGAAATCCATTTTCCTCGAATCATGAAGTCTGATAGAATAACTCTTTTGCTTGCAAATAGCCAATGGCGGTCCCGCCATCACCTGATTGGCTGACACTGCTCAATATAGGTGACGGCGGGCGCCAAAAACCTCAGAATCTTAGCTGAACGAGAGTAAGGAGACTGAGAGTCCCTCCCACACGGCAGGTTACCTAATGTCTCGTTCCCTCCTCTCAGGGAACTACGGTAACGTGAGTAACCAGAGACGTTCCCTTATCGAGTCGGTCTCTCGACATTACGTATGGGGAACAATAAAACCCCCGCCGCGTGGGAGAAACCCCGCCCAGCTCTCAGGAACAGACACCGGACCTGGTTGAAACATCTATTGGCACAGAGCCAACTCGGCATCTGCACCAACGAAGGCCCCTCCCATCAAGCTAAGCACGCTGAACTGAATGGAGGGAGATTGCAGCAAGTGATTGGTGCTTAGGAAAATACTGCCGGCTATGAATGCGGACATAACAAAGGGCACAATATAGTGAACATGATAGCTATGCTAATAATAACTCGCACTGTCTGACGACTAGTCGAACCGTGGCTAGAGCGCGCGCCATCGGGGCAGTCTAGCCTAGTCCAACGACAGCTCAGCTTTCTCTCCCTGCACTGACAGACATGTGGTGCGAATGAAGGGATATTCAAGTTATAGAATCTCGCGAAGGTATTACGAGACGACCAACCTGCCGCGAAACAAATGTCTTGAATAGACATGCCTTTCGCCCACGCCCATGATGACGCCAAACTCCTAGTGGAGTGGGCGTGCACCCCTATAGGGAACGGCTTCCCGTGAAGCATAAGCCAGCCAGTGCACAGCCTCCACTATCCAGTGAGATAGCCTCCGTTTCGACAGCGCGCCGCCTCTTAGCACCCGCGTAGCAGACGAAGAGCTGCTCTGAAGTTCGAAACTGGCTAGTTCTGTTCACATAAGCACGCAGGGCACGCATGGGGCACAAGCGTACTTCTGAGACTCTGAAACACTGACCTCATCCGGGCAAAATGCTGGAATTGCAACCACCTGGCTTCTGATGAATATACGCAGTAGATAATAGCCCCATAATAGCATAGCACCTCAGTAAACAACAAACACATAGCCGTAGCTACAACTGTGAGTAGACGAGTTAGCACAGAATAGCCAGTTGTACTGAAGGAAACGGGGCAACATAACAGCATAGCACATGTACGTAACAGCATCGGTCGCTGTAGCGCATCCATGCATGTACATAACGCAGCATAAGTCGCCGTAGCGACAGAACTGCGTAGAGACAGAAACTGAGATGTACAGTTCGATCAGGATGGCTAGCTGCACGGAAACGGGGCAGCATTACAGCATAACACATGGTAAATTGCACATCCGTGTACGTACATACATTCAGAAACTGTGAGTATGCACAGTAGATTAAGATAGCTAGTTTTGCACTGAAAGAAACAGAGCAACAAAATAGCAACACGCGTCCTTATACGTACATAAGTGCAGTGTAGTCGCTGTAGCGACAAACTGAATATGCAGTTAGATAGGATAGCTGGTTGTTGCACTGAATGATAGAGGGCAACATAACAGCATAACACATCAGAGTGCACATTTTAAACATCTGTGTGTATAATGCAGCTCAAGTTGCTGAAGCGACCGAAACTGCATGAATATGCGTACACAATGGTCCATTACATTGAAGGGCAGCATAACGCTTCAATATCTACACAGATGCAATGCAAGTCGCCGTAGCGACGACTGAGACTATGCACAAGCATAGTTACATTTTTGTGTACAAAAAACACAGCGTCAGAGGCATAGCGACATCGACTGTAAATACGTAGTTAATCGGAATAGCCGGCTGCACTGAGGATACAGGGCAACATATAACGGCATAAATCATAGACACATATCAATGTACATAACACAGCGTCTGTGGCATCGCGCAACAACTGTGACTACACAGTAAAAGAGTAGCCAGTTGCACTGAAGGATACAGGGCAATATATAGCGGCGTAATAGTTACACATATCAGTGCGTTGTGTGTACACAGCGTCAGTTGCATCGTACAACAATTGTGAATACGTAGTGATCAGAATAGCCATTTGCACTGAAGGATAGGGCAAAATATGACGGCATAGATCATAACACATATCAGTGTGTAGTGTGCACAAACACAGCGTTAGTTGCATCGCACGACAACTATGAATACGCACTGCGTAGTAATCAGGATAGCCATTTGCACTGAATGACACAGGGCAATATATAATGGCATTAATCATTACACATAACAGAGTGCGGTGTGCACAAACACAGCGTCAGTTGCATCGCACGACAACTATGAATACGTAGTAATCAGAATAGCCATTTGCACTGAATGACACAGGGCAATATATAAGGCATAAATCATAACACATATCAGTGTGTAGTGTGCACAAACACAGCGTTAGTTGCATCGCACGACAACTATGAATACGCACTGCGTAGTAAACAGGATAGCCATTTGCACTGAATGACACAGGGCAATATATAATGGCATAAAACATTACACATAACAGAGTGCGGTGTGCACAAACACAGCGTCAGTTGCATCGCACGAACTGTGAATACGTAGTAATCAGAATAGCCATTTGCACTGAATGACACAGGGCAATATATAAGGCATAAATCATTACACATATCAGTGTGCAGTGTGTACAACGTCAGTTGCATCGCACGACAACTGTGAATACGAACTGCGTAGTAATCAGAATAGCCATTCCACTGAAGGATACAGGGCAATATACAACGGCAAATTCATATAGTGTGCAGTGTGTACATAAACACAGTGTCAGTTGCATCGCGCAACAACTGTGAATACGTACTGCGTAGTAACCAGAATAGCCATTGCACTGAAGGACACAGGGCAATATATGGCATAAATCATTACACACAACAGTGTGTAGTGAGTACGTAACACAGCGTCAGTTGCATCGCACAACAACTGTGAATACGTACTGCGTAGTAACCAGAATAGCCATTGCACTGAAGGATACAGGGCAATATACAACGGCAAATTCATATAGTGTGCAGTGTGTACATAAACACAGTGTCAGTTGCATCGCGCAACAACTGTGAATACGTACTGCGTAGTAACCAGAATAGCCATTGCACTGAAGGACACAGGGCAATATATGGCATAAATCATTACACACAACAGTGTGTAGTGAGTACGTAACACAGCGTCAGTTGCATCGCACAACAACTGTGAATACGTACTGCGTAGTAACCAGAATAGCCATTGCACTGAAGGACACAGGGCAATATATGGCATAAATCATTACACACAACAGTGTGTAGTGAGTACGTAACGCAGCGTCAGTTACATCGCGCAACAACTGTGAATACTTACGGTGTAGTAATCAGAATAGCCATTGCACTGAAGGACACAGGGCAATATATAATGGCATAAATCCTTACACATAACAGTGTGTAGTGAGTACGTAACACAGCGTCAGTTGCATCGCACAACTGTGAACACGTACTTGCAGTAATCAGAATAGCCATTGCACTGAAGGACACAGGGCAATATATAATGGCATAAATCCTTACACATAACAGTGTGGTGTGTACGTAACACAGCGTCAGTTGCATCGCGCAACAACTGTGAACACGTACTTGTAGTAATCAGCATAGCCATTGCACTGAAGGACACAGGGCAATATATAATGGCATAAATCCTTACACATAACAGTGTGTGGTGTGTACGTAACACAGCGTCAGTTGCATCGCGCACCAACTGTGAACACGTACTTGTAGTAATCAGCATAGCCATTGCACTGAAGGACACAGGGCAATATATAATGGCATAAATCCTTACACATAACAGTGTGGTGTGTACGTAACACAGCGTCAGTTGCATCGCGCAACAACTGTGAATACACACTGTGTAGTAATCAGAATCGCCATACAGGGCAATGAATGCTGCGGCGGGGGCTGGGCGCCAGCCACCGGGAAAGCATTGACTTCTATATGAAATGGTATAGCTCGTCCGCGGCATCATGCACGGGGACATAGATAGCCATCTCCTCGGGTTTCCCCGAGCTTCCGCTCTGCGATGCGTCTCCCGTCTATGAGGCGGGTAATAATGTTGGGGAGAGAAGCTCTTTTGCTGAGACATGTAATGTACCTTGTT